CCGTAGACTTTAGGAGGCTCTGGGCGAGGCCGCCGGCTTTCCTGGTTACATTACGAGCATGCTCATGGAACTTGAGACTGTCGTCCACGGTAACACCAAGATCAGTCTGCGAATGGAGCGTCACAATCTTTTTACCATCAAGTGTGTATGTAGGCGGGGACATATCGTGAAAACGGCGTTGGAACCTGAGACAAAAACATTTTTTGAGGTTCATAGTTAGACCCCATGACCTGGCTGTGTCGTGCAGTGTGTTGATATTTCGCTGAAGCGCGTTTTGGTCTGTTTGATACGAGCTACCTTTACCGAGTTGCATATAGATTTTCAGGTCGTCAGCGAATAGCTTACACTTACACGAGAGATGTGTGGCGATGTGATTGATGTAAATAAGAAATAAAATTGGCCCCAGGACTGATCCCTGGGGGACTCCACTTAGGACTTCCCTTGGTTGGCTGGAAACATCTTTTACTGATACAGTCATGGAGCGGCCTACGAGAAATTGGTGTATCCAGCCTAGTACTTGGCCTTCTACACCGATACACTTCAGTTTATCAAGCAAGATCGAATGACAGACCACATCAAAGGCCTTGGAAAAGTCAAATAAAATGAGGTCCACCGCTGAGCCTTCGTCTAACCAGGAAGATACATCGTTGTATGTCAGGAGGAGCTGGTCATCTGTCGATCTCCCGGGTCGAAAACCAAATTGCTCATTGGTTAGAATGTTGTTATCAGTGAGGAAAACGTAAAGGGCGCGGGAGATGAGTTTTTCTAAGCACTTACAAGGAACAGAGGTAAGGCTAATTGGTCTGTAATTCAGCGCATCATATCTCAAGCCCTTCTTAAAGATGGGGATGACTACGGATTTCTTCCATTGCGCTGGCAGAAGTCCCTCGTTCATGGACCGGCAGAAGATGACATGAAACGGGTAAGCGAGGAGAGATGCACACGACTTCAGTAGCATGGGGTGGATGTGATCTGGACCCATCGCAGAGTTACCATCCAGGTTGAGCAGTACCTGTTCCACATCTCGGGTGGTCAGGTCCAAGTGGCCAAGAGCTGCTCCGGATACCTGGTGTTCGGCAGGGTTGTTGGGAACCTCGCTGACATACACACCAGCAAATGAAGATGAAAAACACTCTGCCATTTCCGCTGGGTCATCTGTCAGGCCACCTGATGGAAGTCTCAGGGGACCCACTGACGAGCGAAACTTCTTCTTGTTGCGGATATACGCGTGGAAAAGCTTTGGATTTTCTTTCATCTTTGTAAGTAGCGACCTTTCGTACGCGACCTGTGAACGCAGTGCAAAGGTGCGGTACTCCTGATTAACTTCGAGAAAGTTGGTGAGCGATGTCCGGCAAATCGCAGACCTACGTCCGTGAGTGTGTCTATCTCGCTTGTACCTATCCCATGCCTGACTGCGTCTACGCTTAAGAGAGTTTGGGACACTTGTCTTCCAAGGCAGTCGGTTCTGCTCCCTACTCTTGTCAGCGGTGGGGACACACCGTTGGATGAGCGGGAGTATGATCTCTAAGAGTCTGTTGAAGGATTGCTCGGCATTGAGACATTCAAACTCTGACTCCCAGTCAACATCCCTGAGTTCAGAACAGATCGTATCGTAACTGCCCTTGTGCCAGACATAGTGAGGCTCGCCATGGGACTGATTCTGAACATCCAAGTCAAATACATATTCACAAAGAGTGCTGCAGTGATCACATCCTGGGGGAGGAGGGAGCACCACCACATTACCAACTCTGTCCGGTTCAGATGTTAGAATGAGATCTAAGATGTTGCCGGAGCGAGGAAACGTTGGCTCGGACACCCACTGGGCAAGACCGAGTGTGTCGAACATTGACAAAAAGACGGCATCAGTAGAAGAAACATTGGCTGTCACCTGACCCCCATCTGAGGACCAGTCAAGTGAGGGAAGATTAAAATCTCCCAATAAAATTGCTTCCTGATTAGCACAGTTATCTAGCAGAAACTCTGTCAAAGCTTCGTTCATCTCACTGGTGTTGGATGGGGGCCTATATACCACATATATGAATACATTGCAAGCAGCCAAACGAAAAGAGATAACATTTGGGTGTAAGAGGTTGAGAGTGTCATATGTAATGCTTGTTGATATGTAGGCACAAACTCCATGTTTGCAAAGGCTACCGCTATCATTTCGAACAAGATTGTAACCAGGCATCTGCACTGTTGAGTCTGCGATGGAGGGTGTGAGATGAGTTTCTGTGATCAGAAGGATGTCTGGCTTGTGGGGAATCACAATAATATCTTTAATCAGTTCCACCTTCGGGCAAATACCATTCACATTACATTGACATAGATTCAAACGGTGAGTTCGTGAAGGTGCTGGCTGAGAATATTTGCATGTTAGTTTCCCTGGTCCTCTTGAGGACCACCATCGCCAGCTGTGATGTGTTGTTTAGGGTGTGTGTCAATCAGAGGGGTTGGGGCGTTTGGACCTCCAGAAGTCACAGACTCTGGGTTCCCGGCCGGCCTCTGGACTGGGACTGGCGGCTCGGATCCGGGTGGTGGCGATACTGGTGGCATTGCTCTATTGTCACTCTCGGTCCGTTCGCGGCTCGGGTCCGGTCCGGGTGGTGGCGGTACTGGTGGCATTGCTCTATTGTCACTGCGGTCATTGACCCTGCTGTGGAAGATCCTTGCCTTTTCCTGTCTCTGCTGGAAGGTCAGGTCCCGGCGGATATAGACACTTCCAAAACGATCAGAGCCTTTGAGCTTCTTGGAACTATCCAGCACCCGCTTCCTCAGCTCATCGTCGACCACTTTGCCTCGAAACAAGTCAGATGCGGAAGCAATGCGGACAACCTCTGTGAGGTAAACCTTTTCCCCAATTAGGAACTGTGTCACAAGAGAAAATCTGGCAATGGCCTGATCTGCTGAATTGGCCTCCAGCCCTCGAATCACCAAGGAGCATCGCCTTTTCTTCCTCTCATCCAACTCTCTCAGCTCCTCACGAACAAGTTGGCGGTAAGCTTCAGTAGTAACTGGTGCAGAGGCTGGGACAACAGACTGGGATGCTGGGCCTGATCTGGTGGCAGCCGCATATGATCTCACCGGGCCCTGAGTTGGCGCCCCGTTGTCTGGCATGTTTGTGTGTGTTGTGGTGTGGTCAGTGTAAGATTCCTTGGGCCCTTTTGCACTTAGGGCCTTGACCTCGCTAGTGAGATCCTGAACGAGTGAACATATTCCCTTGATCTGCTGAAAGAGTTGGGCAACCAACTCCTTCAAGTGATTATCAGAGCCACTTGGAGATCTTGCACCATCAGGTGCCTTCTGGACCCTACATTTTGTGCAAACAAATTTGATACCACCACCGTTGTAGCGGGCAATGGCATCAAGCATATCCTGGGTAAGGCCTGAGCACATTTCGGAATTATGCACCCATCCCTCGCACTCATCGCAACCAATGGACTCGTCTCCAACATCCCTCATGCAAGAGATACACTTTTGCACCCCTGGTGGTTCATTAGCGTCAGGCATGTCATGCGGGCCAGTCTGTGACCTAGTCCTCTTACCCCGCTGAGTACCGCGCCCTCGAGTGCCCTCGAGAATCCAAAGTGGTTTGCACAAATTGCGCAATCCTTGATTGTGATCAATCTCGCCGCAAATGATAGCATTGCGGGCATTGCGGACGTTTATATACTTAGCTTCAAATTCAAATTCAGATTGCAGATGCATTGCGGGCACTGTTGCGGGATTTGAATGGTTGTTGTTTATAATCGCCCTAACCCACAACAACAACACCTTGTTTATAATCATTTCATAGTATATGTCCGTGTCCCGTGACTCCGTCGGTACCTTTTGTCTTTATGCTTATGCATTCCTATCAGTGAATGCTGCCTTCCTAGTTCCTGTGCATTTTATGTAGGTACATTGTACGTCCTATCGGCTATCACTCATGTAGAAAAATAGAAGGCCCAAGGAGAAGGCCTGGAAAGAAGCTCAAGCTGGCCGCCGATGCTCCTCCTAGTTTCAAGGCATTGGTTAAATTAAGGCTGCAGAGTGAAGCTTATAAGCAAGCTGCACGACAACGTGCGGTGATGCACCATAACCGTGGCATGGAACGGACCCAAGTTGTAGTGCACTGGCCGTCCATATTTTTTTTTTGACTATTGACTACGTTGACGTGCGTCTTGCACTGACGTGGAATGATAACTCTTATTTAGCACGTGTGCAACTGTCACGTCTCACGTGTGTTACCTGTGGCGCGCACCCAGATCGAGCTGCTGCTCCTGTCATTTAAGTCACAATTTTAGTCAAAGCTCAAGAGCAGTTTTCGGGCGAGAAGGGTCAGAGTACTCTGACCCTTCTCGGAACACGTGTTCCTACAGGAGTTGGATAAGTCCTTCAAACGGATGTACAATTGCAAATTCCGACGGCCTCTCACAAAACAAAAAGCGCTCCAGATCGTGCCGCTCAGGAGAGAACTTATTGGAATCACCTCTCTCTCTGCTCGTGTTTCGTACTCGCTCGAAGCTTGTCGGAACTTCTGACTGCGAGGCATTGCCCCTTGTTACCCCTGGCCGCGAGGACGGCTGTCGTTTTGGCCGTTTGTAGTTTCTATGCAAAATATCTTTACCGGAGCAGTGCGGCGTGCGTATTTCATGGTCTCCGGTGGACAATCTGGTGTGCAATGTGCATTGAAAATGGTTCCGAGTGTTGAATTTATGAGCTGCAATGTGGGCCGTCACAAAGTGTAATTTGCGCATAACACAGGTGATTCCCAAATCCCATTGATTCATGTCGGTACCATTTTTATTTTTTACCATGCAGTCCGCGCAGCCGCTCGATCTACACATCACAATTTCAGTTCAACGTGATAATCCGGGTCCGCATCTTCCCTTGGTGACTTTGCAGCGCCTATCGTGTTATGCAATGAAGGTTGCCTCAGCCACGGCCTACGAAGTCCCCGGTGGGCAGCTGGCGCCGTCTTCTAATCCCTTTCCTCCCCCGGCAGATTCGTCAAGGACCGCGCGGCCGACTGCTTCCGATCTCGGCCGACAGATGCCACTGGTGTCGGGTCCGTCAGCGCGCGGCCCCTTCCCACCGCGGCTCGGCTCGGCGGCTGGCAGCGGCGGCGGCCGGCGGGCGCAGTGCGGCGGCGGCGCTCGGAGAGGTGCGTCGCACGCCGCTCTCAGCTCTATCGGTGTCGGCGTGGCGCGCAGAGCCGACATGGCCGACGAGCCGGGTCTGTGCAGAGAGGAGGCGCCCGCGGCCGGCAGCGGCGGCGAGCCGGCCGTGTGCGCGTGCGGCCGGCCCACCGAGCGCATCTCGGTCACCGTCAAGCCGACCACCGGCGGACAGTTTGCTGTGTCGGCCGCCAGCGACGACTCGGTCGACTATCTCAAGCTGCTCGTCTCACAGAAGCTGAAGGTGCCCAAGGAGCGCATCTGTCTGCTCTACAGAAACAGGTAGGTGGACGTCTGGGATTGTAGGACGCTGATAAAAGGGTCAGATCTCTGTGTGTCCCTGTGACCTATTTGGGTGTCCAATCATGCACCCATGGGCCATGGGTACATGATTGGAGCCATGAGTCATGGCTCTATTGCTTCAATGATCCTTTCTCATCCCTACTTGTCTATGCTTCTCATTGGGTTGTATCGTTTTGATAAAAATAAAAGATAAAATTCGTCTTGTAATACAAATTGTCTACAAAACTCACTCCTCTCCTCTAAGTTTACTCTCCCCCCCCCTGAACACGTCAGACTTATCCCCATCCCTCGTGCCCAGCCCTCCGTTCCACCGCCTCTGTCCGTCCGTCGGCCGGCCGCGTGTGTTCCCATTCCCGGGACGGGGACCGGCCGGCCGGGCGCCGCCGCGCCGCCGCGCGTTTGACCGGCTTTCCCAGCCGCGCGTCACACTAAACGGACGCCCAGCTGGCCCGTCCCGAGAGGTGTACAGAGCTGAACAGCACGCGCCTTTGTCTGTGGGGATGTTCGTGGGGACACGCATGTAGGGAGAGAACGAGATGAAAATATTTGTGTTATATAATTTATTACGTTTATTGCAACGGTGATCTATGGTCTTCATGGATAGCAGTGGAAGTCTAGTTTGTCATGGCTTGCAGTTGTCAGTTGAAGGTTACGTAGGCTCCCATTGCCTTGGTGGATACAATAAATCGGAATGTATGCAGACCGTGAGAGAAAGAACGTGTTGACTCAGGACTCACGAAGGTGGTAGATCGGATAATACAATTTTTGTACTGCTTGAAGAAAAAAAAGCGCTGAGGTATCAAATTCAATGCAAGTTGCTCAGCTTCATGGTCAATGAATCGTATTTGTTGGCTCGTTACTGTATTGGTATAAGCGTTAGGTCTATCCGCTATCCTAAAGCCAACTGTTGAATAATCCTTTCTCCCGTAGCCCTTCCTTTGCCATGCATTATTTCCTTGCGTTATCTATTTTTGACAGCCACGTAAGCCGCTCAGATGTTTCCTAAGTCTGTGATATTTTTCGGCTTACATAGGTAGGTACTTAGAAACACACAACTTTTATTTTACACACAAACGGACGGACACGCACGCATACCGACGCGCTCACACGCAAACAGGCCCAGCAGACGTCGCATCCACCCCTCTGCTCATTGGTGACGAGTAGCGCCTCAGCATCGACGCCGCGCCAGCGAGCAATGGCACTTCGCCCACCAATGCTCTTGATCGATAGTCTCTTGCCCGGCGGGTTGGTTGGTATCGAGCACGACCCCCGTCTACGGTGCTGCCACCTACCCTGCCCTGCAGTCGGCAGGTGCCGGCGGGTCTGCCTGCTCCCCTCCCCTCCGGCTCTGCCCGGCGCTGGGGAGCGGCAACAGGTGCCTGCCGGCGGCCACCTGAGCCCTCCCTCCGGCCGCCGCGCCGGGCCGGGCTCCCCTCCGACCGGCCCGTATCCACGTGGGGAGCGAGCCGCCGAGCCGGCCGGCCGGGCGCGTTATCGGAGCGGCCGCCTCACCGACAGGGGACCGGCCGGGCCGGCCTGGCGCTGCAGCCCGCTCACACAAACATACAAACAGCACGGCGGTCGGGCGGGCGCGGCGCGCGCAGGTGCCGCTGACGCCACAAAGAACAGTCCCGTCCCGTCCCAGCCCCGGCCCGGATCGGCTGGCAGCTCTACGAGGCCCAGCCACGCCACCCTGCAGTCCAAACTGATGGCACGGCGCGAGCAGGTGCGTCACCGCCACCGCTACTGCCTCCGGGCCTTTGTTAGGGGCCCTCCTCGTGCTGCGCTCGGAACCAGGCTGCCAAGTGCGTTCATGTGAACATTATGGGCATTTCCTTCTGTCGCTTATGTCGTCTGTATTACATCCAACTATGCTCAACGTTCACTGGACATTGTTCAGCATTCGACGGTGAAAGTTTCATACACTTTCATGGAAGAATGCATGAGAGAATCACAATCCCATCACGCGGTGGCAGCTCGCCGCTACCCTCCGCGCTGTGGAGCCGTGCCACTGCTCTGAATAATTCGGCCGAATGCCTGTCAGTGAGAGTGCCGGCTCGGGAGTCGTGCGCCTTTCTAGCGGCGGCCGGTCGCCGTAACGGTCACCGATTTGGCAACTCGGGGCAGAGATAACGGCGCCGCCGGCTCCCGTGTCGGTGACAGGCCGGTGTAAGCCCGCCGACCAGCGCAGTGTGTCGGAATGCGGCCCACCGCTCTCGCCGGCTGGTGGATTTGATATCCTGTAACCGTCACGTTCTAAGGCCCCCATAAACAAACACCGGCCTCGGGTCGTCTCCGCCGCAGCTGCGCCCGGATACGGGATCGGACTGGACCCGAGCCGGGCTCGTCAGACGGAGCAGAGCGTCGTGTCTCTATCCTCGCTATCGCACTCGTGGTGTTGTATAACGCGGGGCTGGACCTCGCTGTCCTGTAATAACACAACACCGAGCCGCGCCGAGACTGGTGGAGGCGAATTGGGGCGGCGTGGGGACGATAACGACGGCAGATGTGAGCCCACGCGCCGCGCGCCTGGGAAACTCCGAACCACCAGCGACTTCCTCTGGTGTGAGAGCGAGCCGCTGGGGCTCGGCGTGGACACTGGAGACCGGGGGAGGACGGGGCCTTATCTCTCCCCTCCCCCCGGTCCTCAGCGGGAGGCTCCCCTGCCGTCCGCCGCCCCTCAGGCAAAGATCCGTCTTCAAAGGTGGATCTTTGCCGCTCAGCCGGCGAGTAGTGATGCAAACTTCAGATACGAGAAGTATTATTTGTTTACGGGATGATATTTTTTACATCTGCCACGCCAGCTACCTAGCCAGCTCTGCTGTGTCTAATAACTGTTCTCAAATCTCCCTCACAATTTGAGAACGCCTCTGATTTTCGTCGACCGGTCCGCTGGCGGTGGTCGGCCGTCCCGAAGCCCCGCAGCGGCGGCCGTTCGACACAGCGGCTGTGCCGAACACCTTCGGCAGGTCGATGGGTGCCCGAGATCGATTGGCCCGACCGACGCGTGTCAGCGCTGTGATGGGCGCAGGTGTTCGCCGGCGCCGCGACTCGTGCCCCCCCCGACCCCGCCGCGACCTGGGGGACGCCCGGGCACGACCCGTGTCCGGTGACCGCCAGTCACGCGTCGCGTCCGTCGGGTGGAGATGGGGAGGAGGTGGTCAGGAAGTCACGATGTGGCTTTCACAGGCTCCGAGCAGGATTTGTGCTTAGGGCAACACTTTGCATGTGAACAGCCTTTCCAGACTCCCCGCAAGACTAACCGAATTATCACCGAGGGATAGACTCTCGCTCTGCTTTGCTCCGCTCCTGTTTACCTCCATTTCGTCCGCTCCGTGTTTGTGGCCGGTTTTCCTCGGCCCTGCTATCTGCCCCTCCGGTGCGGCCTGTTTGCACTCGGCCGCGCGGCGTGCCCACTTTCCCCCGGACGCTGTTGTTTCGCTCTCCACGGCCGGCCGGCGGCGGAGGCGGCCGGTGAGCCAGCCTGTCACCCGGCCCGTGAAACGGGCACAAACACCGCTCTCCGTGCGGCCGACGGACACGCCGTCACATGGCCGCGGTTACACCGCACGGCCGCAGGCTGATCGAAATACTCGCACAGGTGCCGTCAGCTTTCAGTGATTGTCACCCTTCCCTGTCTATAGCGTTATGCTTTAGCCAATGGCCTGCCTGGCTGGGAATTTGATCGGATAGCCAGTAAATCTGTTGTCTTATCTTTATCCTTGTCTCGAGGCCACAGCCTGGTTGCCATGCTCACCTGCCTTGGTTGGCATGGACCATGGCATGGACCAGTGGACGGTCGGTCTGTAAATCAGCTGTTCCCCCGGTCTCAGCCGTCTGCTCGGTGCTCACCTGCTAGTGGTGTCAATCGGTTACCAATATTTCGGTATACCGATACCGAACCAATACCGATTCGGTATTCGGTATTATATACTAAAAGCATTTGGTATTTTGTCGGTATCATGAAAATCAACTACTGTCATAAAATATTTGAAAAGCATTTTTTATATACCTTCTGAACTCAAATTTGATTTTGCTAAATGACACTCGATGAAGAAAAATGGCAATCATGACCCATTTCTCCCAAATGCATGATGTCCTAACAAATGGGCAAACACATCAACTGTAATATCAAATACATCAGTCTACCAATGTTAAATGGCAACTTATCAGTGTTAGCAAATTCCAATACCATGAGGATAATTATCCTACAAAGAAAGCCATTGTGCAAGACATTAACATGAATTAATGTTTAACTCACTGTATGCTGGAAAACATACTTTAACCACCTTTCTCAAAATTTCCAAAGCATTTATTAGCAACAAATTTGAATTTGTTTTGAGGAGTCTGTGATTGATCCTTGACCTTGTCTTCCTCTCCATTTTACTGCAATGCAATTACATTATCCAAAACCCTGTTAAATACAGCACTAGCTTCACCATTATCATCTAATATTTAAGGCAGCATTTGTCACTTCATCATCACCCGCATCACCCCACAAATCTTCAACTTTGACTTCGCTCAACTTCAAAAAGCCTTGTAGTGAGCGATGCTGTCATGATCCTGTGGATAATTTATTTTCTTCAATTAGTGTTCTCTTTCCTGCTCTCTCAACAGGTACAGATCGCTAGCAATTTAATCATAAGCTTCATAAAATATAATTGGCTTTTGGCTTGACTCGCACACAGCAGTTTCAAAACTGAACACATCTAAAAACATTTCAATGCCGCAGCTGCGCCAGGTTGAGGAACCGATATAGCTCGTTTTTCTGGTACTTCATTTTTCAGCGAAAGCGGCCTACAACTTTCTTGAATTAATTTTAAGATGTCAAAATTTATACAAGGAATTTTGATTCAAGTGGACTATAAGCAAAAAAGAAAAGAAAAACTTTATTTTATACAGTTTAATCATTAATGCAAATGGCCGCCGCCTGTAAGGCCGCCATTATGGAAGAGACTAGGGTTACCCGCGTGCTCCGC